CAGAAACAAAGCTCTGCTGGGCCATGTCTGGAGGAAATAGGTCACACAATTGATTTTCCAGCGCTCAGTTCAGAGAATGAAAGTTTTCTGTGGAAAGCTGGGGCAAGAGCAAAGCCAGGAAGCGTGTTGGTTATGTGCTCAAACTCTGGAGTCACAGACTTGAGCTTGTAGGCTGCTCTTCTACTTAGTAACAGAGTTGGCCTCTCCTTAACCTCTATTTTCTCACCTATAAAATGAGGACATAATACTTTGTAGGATCATGATTACATGAGATGGAATGTTGAGTGCCTGAAGTATGAAAAATGTTCAAAAATGGTATTGTCTTTTATTTTTCTTCCTGCCTCTCTCTTTGAAACTCACAATCCAATTCTATTTTGTACAAAACATTAACATAAAAAGTTGCCCCCTTGTCCGTAACGCAATGCACATTTGTGGGGAAGCTGGTGCTAACCCGTTTGTAAATGACCTGCTTCTGGGTCGGGGTTTTGCGAGCAGCAGAGCGGCTCCCTTGCTGTGATCTGTTGGAAGTCAGCCCTCCACATAAGGGTTTGTTAAAAGAAAAAAAGAAAAAGAGAAAAAAATATTAACGTAAAAAGAAAAAGGATATAAAAATCTGATTGCACAAGCTTGCCTTTGTGCAAATCTGTAGGCGTTAGCATCTTGGATGCTAACATGTGTCAGATGTCCGGGATGAAACATTAGAATATGAGGACAGTGTGGCTTTGAACGTGGCCAAGAGAAGAGATAAGGGTGAGCGAGGTCCTGTGACTTTCACCCGAGTGACGCAGACAGAATAATAAGTAAGCATGAGGGCAGGTTTTGTTTGATCTCTCTCTTTCTCTGGCTTTTGGCTTTTGTGTGGTTTCCTTGGAGGGTTTTACCCTGGCATTTTTCAGAAAAAGCCCAGTTATTTGGGATGATTACAGGCAATCACCATTTCCTGGACACTGAGCTGTGTTAGGTTCACTGACCAGCCACTTTCCGGTGACCATCTGGGGAGCGCGCGGCTGGTCCTGCTGTCTACCGAGTATCAGATCTCATGAGATCCAAGGAGAACCAGCCTCAGGGCCTTTGGACAGACTGACGGACAGAATGGATTGTGAGGGGGACCCAAGCACTCATTTAGGAGTAAGGTTAATGGCGGACCAAGAAATCCACTCCAACAGAAGAGCGAGCCTTAGAGCAGCAGCACCTGACAGACTGTCCAGGCACAAATGGCTCTCAAAATCCATGTTTGGAATCAGCAATCATTAAGAAAACAAAGGGGATCATCTAAGCTGAGAGGAGAAATCCTCCTCGGAAATCTTGGAGTCTCACTGTCCGCTAAGGTAGCTGCCAGCCACGTGTGGCTTCTGAGCACTTGAAACGCAGCGAGTCCAAATCAAGATATGCTGCGAAGTACACAATTTCAAAGATTTAGTACAAAAAAGGAATATATCTCATGCACTTTTTTATATTAGTTACAATTTGAAATGATAGTATTTTAGAGACTAGGTTAAAATGTTGTTAAAATTATTATTACCTGTTACTTTGTGCTTTTTTGAATGTGCCTGCTGGAAAATTTTAAATTACATGTAGAGCTCCCATTATATTTGTGTTGGATAGTACTGCTGGAGAACTTCACGCAGAGTTTTTATCCCTATTCACAACTCCAGTTGATGTTTCCCTCTACTTTATGCCCTTATCACGATGTTGCACATAAATTAACAACTTATTTATCCAGCACTTTTCTACCCCAGGATTTTGCTGTGGTTGTTCACGCTCCTCCGGACTTTCTCACAAATGGCTCCTCTTCAGCTTTCTGATCTCTTCCCAAACACCCTTTCTCTAGAGAGGCCTGCCCTGGCCACAGGCTGATCACGTCATTCTGTTCTATTCTCATTTTAGCACCTGTTTGTCTTACCTGCCTTCCCAGCTATACTGTGATCTCCATGAGAGTCTACCATGTTCATTACTCCATTTCCTGAGTTCAGAATAGCACCTTGCTCATAGCCAGCCCTCAATAAATATTTCCCAAATGGCTAAATGCATTAGCCTTAAATCTGATTAAGATTGTTTAAACTGTGTTCCAACTTGGCACCCTTTGTTCTGACCCAACTGAGCACCGCTGTGGGCCAGCCACTGTGCTAGGCACCTGGGATATGGGACAGATGTCTTGATCTCTGCCCTTAGGGAGCTCAGAACTTAATAGGTTCCAAAGACAAAAATGTCAGCAAACAGAGTTGTCCTATTACTGCCATGAGCCTTTTGTTTCATTTCACTATGCATACTGCTAAGGAAATAACACAACAGAGGTCAAAACAAGGTAACCTCAAAGCTCAGGCTCCCTGTTTACCAGTAGCTGCAGATGGTTGTTGAAAAGACAGCTTCTTTGTGCTCTTCTGTTTGTGAAAAACAGATGAACCATTCCAAAGAACTATGATTATGGGCAGGATCAAGGCATGTATTTCTAGCTGCGGTAGACTCCAAATGAGAAGATAGTTGGAGTCGATGCTTGTCTTTATTTGTGTATGAAAGTAGAGTAGATGCTCATTTTCATTTATGTATACCCAAAAAATGTGCAGAGGAGACAAATGCATCCCACAAGGTTAACCTGGTCTACCTCAGAGTTATGGGGAAGAGTGGGATAATAAGGCACTATAAGTATTTTCTTCACACACCTCTATTATTTTTATTTGTTACAATAAACATGGACAGATTTTGTACTTTCAAAAATGAATGAAGTAGTTTTCATAAAGAAAATTAAGAACGAAACACCACAAAGCTTCCCTGTGTTTGACAGACTCTACTTCTTATATCTTAAATTTTTTTTATCTAAGTACTGTACCTCAGCTACTAAAGCAAAGATCAGCTTCCAGGCCAGGGACCCCAAAACAAAAAGTAAAGACTGAGCTCACTTCTGGAGAATTTGATGATGTCATAGGTCTCCAAATACCAACCAAGTACACTCATGCATTGCGGCTCTCTTGCAATAGTTCGGACTTCCTTAACCTCTTTAATTGGGAAGGTGCCCTTCTTGAAGGCACCTGTTATAAACTAGGTCCTTGTTTATGTCATCCCATTTTATTCTCCAATCAACCTTTAAAAGATAGCTATTATTATCCTCACTTATGAGATGTAGACCCTAGCGTTCTGGAAGGTTTGATGAATTGCCCAGGGTCACAGAGCTAGTTAGAGGCAGAGGCCTACTTTGAACCTAGCCTTTCCAAACTTGTGCTCATTTTACCACCATTTGCTACTTCTTTTTAAAGAATAAGGTATAATGGGGGTTGGGCCATAATCCCAAAGGAGATAATCCCAAATATTAAAATCTGAAAGATCAAAATCCCAAAAAGTTTAATTCTGGAAAAAATAATTTTCCAAATTTCTTTAAAATACATTTATTTACATTTTTAAAGGAAGACTTATTTGAGAAACATAAAAGCATAACATACTTAATAGGCCACTTTACACAATAAAACAGGCAATGACATCCTTATTTTTGCAAGCATAAACACTCAGGTATACTAAAGAGAGTCACATAGGTGTAACAGTTATGAGCAGATAAACTGGATCATAAAGAAATATACAGTTGTGGTCATCCAAAATGCTGTGATGGGCAACCTAAGTCTTTTGATGAGATTGATCAAAAACAGCAGAAGAAAAGTCTGTCCCAGCTCTCAGAGAGAGACCAATTTGCCTTCTGTATTTGTTCTCTGTGGGCCCCCAGCCGACTGGGTGGTTCTTGCCAGCATTGAGGGAAGATCTTCCTCACCTAATCCACTCAGACTCACACACTCATCTCCTCTGCAAGCACCCTCACAGACACACCCAAAATAATGCTTTATCAGGTTTCTAGGTATCCTCATCCAGTCAAGTTGACACCTAAAATTAAGTCTGCAAGTCCGCCCCTTGTCAACTCGACACCCATATGCATCTCCTTGAACCATAGCTAATTTCCAAATGAAGACAGTAACAAAGTTATAGTTCTGCCTAACGTGGTGGGACTATGCTGGACACAACAGAAAATGCACTAATTGTGAGCTTTGAGATTTTAGACATTAGGGATTTTGATCTTTTGGGACGTCAGCATCCAGGACTATGGCATTTGGGATTGTGTCTTTTGGGATTGATTGGCACCAGGTACAATGACATGTTTTTGCAATAGGTCCCATAGCTGAGTTAAACTCTATTCTCAATGGCAGCCTCATTCTATGCACCTGTGAAAGGCTTCTTCTCTCCAAAAGCATTTCTCTGACTAGCCTTTCTTAGAGCCTGATAGCCTACCACTAGGATTTATCCCGCTGGGTAAGGCAGCAAATCCCCTGAGATCCACTCTCCAAGCAGAAGGACCCTTAGAAACGGGTAACTCGGAGCATCGTTATAAATCACAAACACCATCATGTGCATAAGTTATCAGGGAAATACATCTAGCAAGCTTCCAGAATGAGACCAGGCTCCAGTGATGTTTGACGGGGAGGGTGGGGAAGGAGTAGTTCTAGAGCAGAGTCAGGAATGTCCTGCAAGGGTGTCATTAAAGGACATGGAGAAACCGGATGCAGAAAAGAAAGGTGCCACCAACTGAATAAATCACCATCCAGCTCAGGCCTGAGCTCAATTACTGTGCCAATAAGTTCATGGGCAGGCACAGGGCAGAGAAAATTGGCGCACGTGTGGTTATTTTCCATAGATCACATTACCCATCCCAGCTGTGAGTTCTGTGAGTTCTGTAAATGCTGCTGTTTCCAACGAGGGCAGCAGAGAACATGACCCTGTGGCTCCGTGAGTGGAAACCAGTCACCCCTTCAAGAAAATGGTCCAGAGGGCGTGATCCCCAGGCGTCTGCCCAGTGTCTCTCTCAGACTGAGGGCCAGGAGCCCGCTTCTGCAGATTTGGGCGGGAGGGCTGGGGTTGGTTTACAAAGCTAATGGATCTTATACAGTAGTGGATTTCTAGAAGCGACCTGGACAAAAATACTGTCTCCTCTCTTACGTAAATGGGATGTGCTTGTCTTCCCATAGAAAAAGCGCAATTTGAAGGGCTCCATTGAACTCTCCCGAATCAAATGTGTCGAGATTGTGAAAAGTGACATTAGCATCCCGTGCCACTATAAATACCCGTTTCAGGTAAGTCCGTCAGGCCTGAGGTGGATGGTTCCTCATTCCCTAGACCACAGTTAAAACCTCAGTCTCTCAGAGAGGGCAGGAAGGGGAGGACTCTCTGGTCCTGGCTTAACACTTAGACCAAGCCCATAAGAAAACGGCGTTGTTTCAATCAATGACATTCATTCATTCTTTCCTTCATTTATTTAACAAAGATTAGGCACAAAATCTTAAGGTGGCTATTTTTCATTTCCCTTTCCCCCATGGCCCCCCTACCTCAAGCAAAGTCCCAAGTACTTTGCTCCCACAGAAAGGAAAACAGCTGCCAGGGTGGGCTCCACATCTACTGTGCTTTAAGTGCATTTTACTCCTGATTTGAGGCGACACATTACAGTCCTTGGTTATAAATTGCTTGGAGGTTCCAAGGTAAAAAGACTCAGGTTGCACAATCTGAGAACTCTCTGGCATCACGCTGTCCGGGAGAGCAGCCGCTAGCCACCTGTGATGTTTACATTTAAACGTAAATTAATGAAGATTAAGTGACATTAAAAATTGAGCTCCTCAGTCACACAGGTCACATTTCACACGTTCAATAGCCACGTGTGGCTGGCAGTTACTGTACTGAGCAGCACAGATTACAGACTGTTTCCATCACTGCAGAGAGTCCCGCTGGACAGAGCGGGTGGAGGGTATCTCTAGAGTCTTTATCTTGTTTCTGACTCTTGGCATTTCTGGCTTCAAGGGCATGGGTATCTCCTTGCACAACCCAGGATACCATTCGTGTTTGCCAACCTGCGGGATGAATGTCTCATTTTTAGTGTGGCATAGAATAGAGTTTTTTTCTACTAGAAAAGTGACCCCCATGAGTTGGAAATTTTAGGACTAAAAAAAAAAAAAAAAGGAATGACATGTAGTATCACATATTTCCCAATGGTTAAAAATCCCAATGACAAATGAGTGCATGAAAAAACTGGTGGAATTCAAAGAAGGCTTGTAATTAATGAACAGTATTGTACCAATGTCGATTTCCTGGTTTTGAAAATGTGCTCTGGTTATGTAAGATGTTATCAGTGGGGAAAGGTGGATGAAAAATACACAGGAACTCTGTACTATTTTTGGAACTTCTTGTGAGTTTTAAACTGCTTCCAAATAAGAAGCTTTTAAAAATTCCAATCACAAAAAAAAAAAAATCCCAATTACACATTTGTCATCTAGTACGTTACTCTTTCATATTCCAGAGAGAGTTTTTTTAATCACTAAAAATTTAAGATAAATGTGCTTTCTAGTAAAGAAGAGAAAATTTCTCCTACTATTTTAATTTAATGGAATATTGCTTACTGGTGACATGAAATCTGAGATGAGCAGCCTGACTGCTCACCCTGTGTTTTCATAGCACCCAAATATCTGGATAACAAGGATACCTGGCTGGGCACGGTGGCTCACGCCTATAATCCTAGCACTCTGGGAGGCTGAGACAGGAGGATTGCTTGAGCTGAGGAGTTCAAGACCAGCCTGAGCAAGAGTGAGACCCCATCTTTACTAAAAATAGAAAAATTAGCCAGGCATCATGTTGCATGACTGTAGTCCCAGCTATTCGGGAGGCTGAATCAGGAGGATCACCTGAGCCCAGGAGTTTAAGTTTGCAGTGAGCTGTGATGATGCCACTGCACTCTACTCAGGGCAACAGGATGAGACTCTGTCAAAAAGAAAGAAAGAAAAAAAAGATACCTATCCCCTAATCACCCAAATATTTGCCTATATGAGAACAAACACCTGAGACCCTGCCCATGGCCCAGCAAGCTAGATGAGTCTGCTGGCAGTCACCGATCTCCAGGTACATGGCTCATCTTGGACTCTGTGTGTTTCCAGGTTGTGCATGACAACTACCTCCTGTATGTGTTTGCTCCAGACCGCGAGAGCCGGCAGCGCTGGGTGCTGGCCCTTAAAGAAGGTAATTAAACTTCTCTGCCATTGAGTCAATGATACCCCTGATGGTATAGTACGTTTGGGTTCCCCAATAGAATAGAATGTGGTCTGAGAGCAGCTGATAGCCAAACATTTTTTCTTTTTGGTGTTGGTGGAAGGTCTCTAGTTCTCACCCTGGGCCCGGGAGGCAACAACCAGTTATAGTTCAGGGATTGGCCAAATCCAATTGCTGCTGTTCTTGCAAGGCTCTGACCTACATTTTTATGGGTTCCTTTTTATGCGTTCCATAAATGGTTATATAAGTACCTACATTAGACTCTCAATTTTGTCTCATGGCGAGCAAACCTAAAATATTTACTCCCTGGCCCTTTAAGAAAAAGGTTGCTGACTCCTGGTTTAGCATGAGGAAAACATAGGCCCTGGAGTGAGCTGACCTGGGTTTAAATCCCAGCTCTGCCACTTACTATGTACACTTGGGCGAGCACCTTAACTGTGGTGCTTCTGTTTCCCCATCTGTTAACAAAGGAGAAGAAGGGGGCATAATAGAACCTCCAGAGCATATGTGAGTAAAGTCCTGGGAACCAGGCTGGCCCATGGTCTGCACCCAATACGTGTCAGCCAGCTTGAAAGCTTTTCAGACCATCAGGAAGGGTCTTTCTTAAGCCTCTTCTTCCTGATGGCACAATAAGAACCAGCACCGTATTTAAGCATGTGGGATGTGGAGCCAGGCAGCCAAGGTGAAAATCCCAGCTCTGCCAACTATTAGCATGTGACCTTGGGCAAGCTCCTTGACCTTCACGTGTGTCTCCATTTCCTCAGCTAAAAATTTTGACTAAGAGCAGCTATAGGGTTGCTGTGAGAATTAAATGAATGAGGATATGAAAGGCACTTAGAACAATCTCCATCCCAAAGAAAGCTCTCCATCAGTATTACATCATTGTTCTTTAGTCTGAAGCACTGGATGTGTCGGGAGATCTGGGTTCCAATATTCATCTGTCTCTAAGTAGCTATGAGGACGAAGGGTAA